AAAAAAAAATCTACCTTGCCATTTATATTCATTATAACAACATGCAAAGTGCTCTGAAATGTGCTTCTACCTGCTTCATTTCTTTATGTTCCTCTGCTGTGTTTGTCCACAGCTTTAAGTGTTTTATGCAGCTATAGGTCCTAGTTGCGGAAGTTATTTTTTTTTTAATTGTGAAGAGCATTGAATATATGGAGAGAAAAAAAAAACAAACAAACCCAAACACAAAACACCCCAAACAAATCTGTCTGGGAAAAATGCAGTCAGGGTGCCTTTTAGGAGTAAAGATGGTGAGACTTTGTCTCGTCTGCTTTGGACATGGTATCAAGAGGGGCGAGTTCTTGGAAAAGAGTGTCTTGCTTGACAAAGTGGAGATTCGCCGGAGAGGAAGACCCTCAGTGAGAGGAACTGACACAATGACAATAACAATGGGCTTAAGCCCTGCAGGGTTTGTAAGGATGGCTGGCGCAGGATAAGACAAGACTTTAATCTGTCGTACATCAAGTTACCATGAGTCGTGAGTCAGAGTCTTCCTCATAGTGCCTGACAACAATGGGTTCTAACTGGAGTCCATGAGGAGTACACTTAACTCACTCAGCAGTTAATTGAAAGCTTGAAGATTTGAATTCGTTCAGAGGCACCAGATGAGAGAGGCCTGGTGATCTACATCCAAAAGTATGAGCCATTGAAAACCCCGTTACATGCTGTCTTAATGAGTCATAGCTAACTCAGTGGCCACTGGTTTTAAATTTTATTTCTAACCATTGCTAGAGGCGAGAGCACTTGATAGGTGTGCTGCACTGGACGAAAAGAAACATTGGTAGATAGAGAGGATTAGGAAGTGGCCAGACCTGGGTTCAAGATCCTACATTGTCTTCTCCTAGCCGGTGAAGATTATGGGCAAAATATTAATTGACTCAGGAAGCATCAAAAGAAGAGGAAAAGTATGCGGTCATTGTACCAAAAGAAGGGAACTCGAGTGGACCGGTCCTATGGAGCTGTGCTGCTAACCCCAAAGCCACACCTCAGAGGTCCATTCTGTCGTCTTTCTCCGTTGGCAAGGTTTTAACATGCATATGAGGTGGTTAGAAGTACCATGGCTTGGGTCAGACACACCTTAGTCCTCAAAGGGACATTTTTACTCTTTAAACATGTTATAGAAAGTATTTTGCAGTAGCTTCACCCAGTGTCTGGTGGCCTAATAGGTAGGGTATTGTGCTGTTAACCCAAAGATGGAGCCTCTCTGGCAGTTCAAATCCCCCAGCAGCACTGCAGGAGAAAGATGAGCAATCGCCTGCACAGTTTATAGCCCCAGAAACGAGCGGGAGGGTCAGCTAGGAGTCAGTTCCAACTCAATGGCAATGAACTGTTTGTTGTTTCACAGGGCAAGAAAGTGGTTTGATTTCTTGACTTCTGATTCTGTGGGCATTGATTGTTGATACAAGTAAAATGAACTTGACACTCTCAATAGTTTCTCCATTTAGCATGATGTTACCGACTGGTCCTGTTGTGAGGAGTTTTGTTTTCTTTATGTTGATTTAGAATTCATATTTAGAAAGCTGAAGCCTTTGATATTAACCACTAAGTGCTTCAGGTCTTTACTTTCAGCAAGTGGACAAGGTTGTGCGGCCTGTATATTTAAAGCTGTTAACGAGTCTTTCTCAAATCCTGATCCTGTATTCTTCCACGTATAGTGCTGCTTACTGGGTTGTTTTCTCACCACACAGTCTTAAAAATAAATCCATGTAAAGCTGAGACCCTACAGGAATCCTCCCACATTAGAAGAATAAGATATAAACCAAGTTCTTCCTCCTTTTCTACCTACCTTTAGAGACTGGAAGAAAAATCCAAGTACTGAGTGAAAAATTGAGAAAATAAAAAGAAACAGATCCAACAGGAATAAAAAATTACCAGCTAGCCTGTGTGGCTTCTAAACCCAAATTCATACCTTGTACATTGAACAAAACTCAAACTGATACCAGTTTAAAAGATCTTGAAATATTAGTGTGTGATGCTTGTTGGACACCTACAAGCCAAGCTTCCAAGGATTCCCACAAATAAAAATGCCAAGAATAAGTGCCCACTGTAAACACAAGACATTTTGAATACGAAGTAGTAGAATCAGACCAGCCAAGACCTCAGATGTTGAAAGTGTGAGGCAGACACAGCCTATAAAGCAATGCATTTGTTGTATTAAATTTAAAAGGGTATTGAAAATAGGAGTAAGGGGCAAAAGATTATTAATTTGACTAAGTAGATATACTATTCCATGGGGATATCCAGTACTCTTCTCCAACACCATAGCTCAAAGGTATCAATTCTGTGTCTGTCTTCCTTATTGATTGTCTAGCTCTCAGATGCATAGCAAGTGATTGAAAAGACCATGTCTGAATCTGGCACACCTTCGTCCTCAAACTGACATCATTGCTCCTCAGTAATTTGTAGCAGCCCCTGACTGCAGACTTTCTTAGTGCAATATATCTTCTGATCTCTTGACTCATGGTCCAAGGGTGTTGATTGTGGAAGAGTCCTGAATATCCCATGGGTTGCTAAAAGAACAAACAGATATGTCTTGGAGCATGCAGCCAGGGTGTTCCTTGGAAGCAAAGGTGATAAAGCTTCGTCTCATAGTTTTGGCATGTTCCTAAGAGAAGCTGTTCCTTGGAGGAGGGACATGGTGCTTGGGAAGGTGGAGGGTGGCAAAGGAGAGGAAGACCCTCAACCAGATGGGTTGGCACAGTGACTGCAGCAAGGGGCTTGAGTATGTCAGAGATTGTGAGACTGGCACGGTATAGAACAGGGTTCAAAGCTATCGTTCATAGGGTCACTATGGGTCGTACTCAATTCAGCGACACCTACTAACAACAACAAGTAGATAAGAATAAAAGATTTTTTACTAAATAGAATTTCTATATGGCTAAAAATAGAATAATTGAAATGAAAAAATTATGAATACATTTTCTACACAGCTGAGGGTGGTGGTTGTTGCTGTTAAGAGCCTAAAATATGTGAAACAAAGTTTCACTATCCTTCCCTCTAAGAACATCTTGGTTGCACATTCCCCAAGACATCCTTGTTTGTTCTTTAGCCAGTGCACAGGCTGTTAAATCCTCTTCTCTAACACTAGAACTCAAAGACATAGATGAGTCTTCTAAGTATAGCACAAACATGCAAAAATAAAAAAAGATATAATCTGGAGATAGGAAAGAGGAGATATGAATAAAAGAGAAAGTCTAATAAATTATTGTTTGTAGATTTAGAGGGGGAAGAAAGAAGAAAACTAAAATTGAGGCAGTCGTTTAAAATGAGGAATAAGCATTTTCCAGAACTGCTGAATGATGTCTTTTTAAAAAGCTTAAAAGGCCTGCAGAGTACAGAGGAAGGAAAACCGTTTGAACTTGCTTAACCCTGTTATTTTTCTCTACTGATGTGGCCACAGGAACCCTTTCTTATGGAATAACTATCATCATACTGTAGATGACAGGGGTGGGGGGGGTGGGTAGGGGGCCGGGGGGGGTTCCCCCTTTAGGAAACTGCTTTGCATTTTTGCTGGAAAGATCAGATTAAATATTTCGTTCTATGTTTTCACCCCTGTGCCCCAACCACTGATTGCTGCAGAATTACGGGTTCAGCTGAGGAGATTCGAGGAGCTGCTGCCTCAGGTCTGTTGGCTGGTGACAGAGAACTTCAAGGAGCACCACTGGGAGAAGTTTTCCACCTCCATCAGTGAGCTCTGGGGACAGTTCAAGGAGCAGCTGAAGCAGCTGGAGAAAGCGAAGGTCAGTGCCTGGGGACCAGGAATTTCCAAACTAGGCCCAAGAGTCTTGGGAGTTCAGAAATGGATGCTTGACACGGGCAGGTCTGAGCCCAGAAAAGGACCTTGGCTGAGCTTCATAGTGTTGGATGTGGCCTGAGGGACACAAGGCATCGAAGGAAAGAGAATGAGACTATAGCTTCTTCAAGGGAGGACTTCAATAAATGCCTTCGATGGATGGGCTGGCTGCATTGGCTGAAGCCATGCTGAGACCAGCCATGATTTTCTACATGAGTTCTTGGAGATGGGACATGGGCACTGCTGATATTATTAGACTAAAACCCTAATTGTACAGAGGTATAATTCTTCTCTCTGACCTTTGAAGCTGGCTTTAGCCATGCTACTATCTTTTTAAAAAAATTAAAATATTTATACTAGTTTATTTATAAAACTTAAATGCATTGTTTTCAAGAACAGATTCTTTCAATTTCTCTCACCTCCCGACCCATCAAATTGTACAACCCCATGATTAATGCCTCCATCCCCTGCACATCCTCATCCCTCTGCTTCCAACCTCTCCCACACCTCTTGGATCCTCATACACATTCTACAATAATGGTTCTAGACAATATTGACCCTTGTAGGACTGAGTTAGTTCACTCAGCATAATACTCTCCAGTTCCTACCAAATGAGGTAATAATTTGCAAAATCAGTGCTCCTGCATGCTACATAGTATTCCGTTTTGTGACTACCATAATTTCTCAATCCATTCATTTGTGGTTGGACATTTAGGATGTTTCCATGTTCTTGCAATGGTGAATAATGCTGCTATGAACACTGGTATACAAATCTCAGTTGGTGCCTCAGTTCTCCAAGTAGTGAAATAGCTGGGTCGTATGGAATTTCTATGTTCAGCTTTTTGAGGAAGCACCAAACTGCCGTCCTGTGCTCCTTATCTTGACTCCTGTTTTTCCCTGCCCACTCCCGACTCTTCACACCAACCCTATCAGTCTGCCTATGACCATAACTGGTGGAGGCTGTGAGCCAGTGATTTTGTTTTGAGGTAGATCTGACATCAAGTGCTGGTTAACATAACCACTGATTTATTAATTGTTTGGTTAAAGGATGAAAATGCCCAGAAGCTCAGTCCACATCTTGGACACCCAGCCAACTTCCAAGAAATGGAAACATTGTGCCAGCTGGAAGAGAAGAGACAGGAGGAGTTGGGTTGTGTGATCGAGGAAAACAGAGAGAAGTTAGAGGTCAGTAGTGTCATCGACTTGTCAGGTCCAAGTTCAGGGACCACATTGCCCTCCTGAAACATTGTCTCCATGGCACACAGAGAGTGCTGAGCACCCCCGCTGCTGGCACTTTCACCAGAGAAGGGCAGCCTGGAGGACACTTTTTATTGTTACAATGGCCTGTATTGGCTTTTTAGACTTGTCTTTCCTTCATTTCTAGATTAGTTCATTATAAACTAACTAATGTGAACTTTTTATACTAGGCTTTTTGGAGCAATTTTAGAATGTAGAGAACCTTAGAGAGCCACTACAAAAATCCATTATTCTGTAACCATTTCTGAGTCATTTTCTTGTCTTCCACCCAAATTGCCTTTAAGGAAATCCCTCCAGGCTGAGGTCTAAGTGCCAAATTAACTAGAAGACAGTGGAAACAATGGCTTCAGTGTCTCACCAGCTGCCTTCATAAAACCTGGCTCCAGAGAATCCCCAGCTCCATTCTCACCTGCCTTCTGGGGGAAGTCCCTCTCTCCACAGCTCTGTGTTCACCATGTTTCCTACAGGAACTTTCCAGGAAATATGGCCGGGTTTTCATAATCTCTTTGGCCAACTTCACAGAGAAATTCCTGCTGCAGTTGGATGAAGTGGTCACTGTTGATGACATTCAGGTTCCAAGTAAGCGATGCAGCCATCTTGGATGTGTCAGGGGCCTCCGTCTCTCACCCAAGATCCCAACTAGGAAGGGGAGGAGAGAAATCTTATTTCCCTAATATGATAGTCAAGTAGAAGTCACCTTGATCGGAGGCCGTCTAAGGTTTCTGTCTCTTGCCTACCTAGGGATGGAGCCTCCCAAGCAGAAAATGTCAATCTTTATTCGGAAGAAACTCACTGGGCTGCCGCTGGAGGAAGAGCGAGAGAAACCCCTGATCGAACGGGGCAGCAGGTGAGAACAGAGAATAGTGAGGACCAGCACAAATGGTTGTGCTTTGCCAACGGGCAGTGCCACGTAAGGGTTGGGTCTATGAAGCTGGGCACATCTGATGGCCTCTAGAAGGTGTGTGCTGGGCGGATCTGATAACCATGGGAAGGTGTTAGAATCCAAGCCTCAGTTTCTTCATTTGTGAACTTGAGATAGCAGAAGCTCCTTCTTCCATACTTTGGGCATATTGCATATTGCAAGGAGGGATCAGTCCTTGGAGAGAGGGACATTATGCTTGGGAGGGTGGAGGGACAACACAGGAGAGGTGACCCTCAATGAGATTGACTCAGTGACTGGGGTAAGGGGGTGGTGGGTGTGTGAGAGACAATAAGGTTGTCACAGGATAGAGCAGAGTTCAGAGCTATTGTACATGGGATCGCTATGAGTCACAGGTGACTTGATGACATATAACAACAACAGCCACCTACTTTACAAAGAGAAAGTGAAATCAAAATGCCTCTGGCCTGTACTTGAACTTAATGGTTATTCTCTTTCTCACTACCACCAAGTCTGGACCTACTCATAGCTGACCCGCTAGTGGGTTTTCTGAGACTGTCAGTTGCAGGGGAGGAGATTGTTCATCTTTCTCCCATGGAGCAGCTGGTGGATTTGAACTGCCAAAGAGGCTGCCTTGGTTCAGCAGCTTCCTACAGACTATACCACCAAAGCTCTTACAGCTACTAGTTTACGTAATAAGGACCCAACAAAGAGGCTCAGAAAAAAAAAAGAAGAAGAAGAAGGCCTGTCTCAGAGGGAGGGCCATCCTCAGGTCATTGTGGCAATGTGAACCTCTCTAGTTGGATTAAAAAGCAAAGCAGTGAGCTGTCCAAGACTGCTCTCAGTAGGGGCATTTATAGCACAGGAGGAAAGTGGGCCAGGGGATGGTAACCACCACCTGGCTAGCAGACCACCCTTGGAGCCACATAGGAGCGTCTGCTCTTAGCTGCAAAAGGCTCTGTGGAGGGATAGAATGTAGATTATAATGCCAGTGGTGGGTCCAACTTCCTGTTTTGAGCTCCTGTGTACCAGGCTCCACCACACAATTAATTAGCGCTGCTTCTTCCATGAGAAAGGGCCCATCATCATCTCCACTTTATCCAGGGGGAACCTGGAACCTGAGGCCAGAAAACATTGCCTCTGGCTAACTCCAGAGACACAGCTGTCCTCTCCCCATTTGAACCCACTGCGCACACAATATGGAAATAAGAGCAGAAAATGTGCATAAATATATTCGTTAGGGTTTTTCTTTGAATTAAGAAGTCCAAAGCCATAATGCTTGTTTTCAAAGAATGCTGAGCTTTGCCACCAGGGTTGGTAGCGGGCTTATGAGTGATGAAGTCTCCTCCATGGGGTACTTTACACCTGTTTGTTTGTAGGAAGTGGCCAGGTATCAAGCCCACTGAACTCACCATCCAAAACAAGATCCTCCTCAAGAAAACGACATCCACAACCACTATCAAGACCACCCTGGGCCACCTGGCAGCCGTGGAAGCCCGGGATGCTGTTTACCTGGTGAACAGAGATGCTAGTAGGGCGGGTGTGTTGCCAGGAAGCCAGCGGCAGCGTTTTCCTCAGATCCAACTGCCTTAGAAAGAAAGCAGAACATTCTATGCCAATGGGCACCCCAACATGTGGCCTAAGGAATAAAGGTCACAGGTCAGGGGCCCCCCTTCACCCTACAGGTCTCAACACTCAGGAGAGTTGAGGTTTACAAGCACAGGAGTGAAAGACATGGTGTACATTGTAGTTGTAGTACAGACCCTCTGGGCCTGACGGCGTGAGCTCAGTGCTACAAGGCTTAGCTGAAGGGTACCCTATCTAAAATGCAGGGTAAAGAAAAGTTTTCCAGGGGAGCAATTGAGTCCCAGCTAGTCAGACATGCCAGCAGAGAAAAGAGAGTGGGCGGAGGAGTGGAAGCAGTGGGGACAGTAAGTTAACAGAGCGTTTGCAGCAACTATGAAAGCTGAGAAGTATCATTGCTTAGTGGAATTCTGATCAATATATTATCTCATTGAATCCTTCCAGAGACATCATGAAGGAAGGAGGATTAGTATCCCCATTTTACTAAGGAGTAAACGGGACTTAACAGGAACTTGCTTCCTTTGGTATCCCAACCTAGTATGAAAGCTAGGATTTGAACCCAATGCCAGGTGTTCTGCCTGACATGGGATCTGCTTGACATGGAAGCAGCATCCAAATACTGTATGAAGGATATCTCAGCTGTGAAGTTCTCTAGCACAGAGGTGTGGTGCCCAGATAGAAACCATGTCTACCTGGAAATTGACTGGGCCTGGTACTGGGAGATTGCCCATCCACCACAGTGAGCCCCAAGAAGAGGTAGCTCTGCTCAGTCAGGTTCAGTGAGAGCTCCAGGCCTGCAAGGGAGCAGCCCCAGAGGAAGCCATACCCCTGAGCTTCAGGGAGGCCAGCAGTGCAGCCCAAGGTCAGATAGGCAGAGATTCTAGTTAACTACTAGCCAAAAGGCTGGTTGGTGGTTCGAACTCACCCAGAAGCACTTCAGAAAACCAGACTGACAATCTACATCCAAAAGGTCAGAGCCTTGAGAACCCTAGAGAGTGTATTTCTGCTCTGAACACGTGAGGTCTCCATGGGATTCTCCATGAGAATCAGCTCAGTGACAGCTAACCACAGCTAGTCCATGCTACACCTCAAACAAGACTCAGAGCCTCGGTTTCCACACCTGTAAAATGAGAGAAATAAGTGGGTCTGTCCGATCAGTTGTTGGGAGGATTGTGAAACTCTTGTCCAGGGTTTGGAGCAGGTTAAGAGTACCGTGCCAGTTAGTCACAGCTTTCCTCTGGGGCACAGTGCTGGGAAGGCCTTCTCATGAGGCCTTCTCCTGCTACCCTGTTCCCAGAAATATTTAGCCCTATTCGATGAGGAGACGAAGAAGATCCAGAATAATCACACACTGCAGGTGAAACAGGCTCAGCACTGGAAGGACAACTGGAAACGATCCGTGTGCACCATCCAGGGCCTGTATTTTTGATACCCTTCAGCCCTAGAGGCTGGGCTGCCCAAACCTCAAATAAAGGCTCACTTTGTATGTACTTCCACTTCTACAGACTTGTTCATTTACCCCCAGCATCTGTTACAGTGGGTCCATTGGCTGTTACAGAATCAGTGGCAGTTGATTGCCTTGCTTAAATTGTCTTTCCTCCCACTCCACAACTGGAGCCCTGATCTGGCTGACAAGTCTATTAAGATATTAACCTGCACCCTTGGTGTCATGCTTATTTCTGGATGCATCTGCTGTGCAGGTGACTCCCACCACAAGAAGGTCAAAGGTGACCTTTTAGAAAGTCAGGGCCCTCCCCTGTTGATTCAGTATCTTTCTCAGAACGAATTCTCTTTAAGCTGCCATTGGCCTCCCATTCTCCAGTGTTCAGTGGCTGTGTGGGCTCTGCAGCTCTAGGATCAACCCCTTTCTGGGGATTAGCGCCTTTCAGCTGACTCACCTTGGAGGCCTTTGTGAGCAGCTTATGGTGGTTTGTTTGGTCAGCACATCCTTAAGCTTTAGCAGGGCCTGGGGTTTAGCAGGGCCTGGGCAATCTCTTCCTTTTGTTTTGTTTGTTTTATTTTTTTTTCTCCTTACTCAGTTGAAACAAATCCAGCTGTCTAGAAACTTCTCTGTATTTGTTTGTGGGGCAGTGGCTGGTGAGAGAGAGTGACCACGAAGTTAATGATTAACCAAAAGTAGGACTATCCAGAGGCTCCCTTTGTGGTGAAACCATAATTGCAGAGCTGATCCGGAAAACCCCCAGGAGGCTGGGTTCCATCCACAGACAAGGTTTTGAGTATATTGGTTGTTAGCGTCTAAAAATGATATTTATAAAATTACCTGTGATTAAATAACTTTGATATGAATAAAATGTGAACCCGGTTCAGTTGTGCACCCCAGTTCAGTAGTTCACAAGGGAGAATAAACATAGAATCACTTCCTACATTTTCTTCACTCAAAGTGGTTTGAGGAACAAGGTTCTCTAGAAGTCCAAGTGAAGGAGCACTCCTCTCCGGTGGAAGCCTCCAGGAAGGGTGCCCCGGAGAGGAACTGTGCAAGGCACCAAATGATGCCACTACCAAGTTACTGTGACTCATTTGGTGGTACCTGTTGATCAGGTAGATATTGTTGTGCTGCCAACCCAAAGGCAGGCAGTTCAACTCCACCCGGAGTTATGGTAAAATTAAAAGATGGGAAAGATTACAAGATGGGGGTGGGGGGGAAGATAGGCAATCTTCTCCCATGTGATTTACTGCCTCTGAAAACTCTCTGGAGAGTGAGCTATGAGTTGATTCCTTGACTTGATGGCAATGAGTTGATACTTTTTTTAGTTGAATGTGATTGAAATGAGAGGGGGGTAGTGTTGGGACAATCTAGTGAATGCTCACATGGGAAGGAGATGAAAGCAGCTAGAAGTCTCTAAAAGTGCCACTCTGAATTTTGGAGGGTGACTTGAACACTTTGCTCCCTTAACTAATCACCCATGTAAGACCAAAAGGTCAACAGCTATCCAAGGGAAAGATAAGAGGCCGAGGAGGGGCAGAGAAGCTAGATCAATGGAACTGGCAATAGAAGTAAAGAGAATGAAGAAGACACGCTGTGAAAAATATAACTAGTATGACTAAGCAATTTGTTTAAAATCTATTAAGTGAGAACCTAATTCGGTATGTAAACTTTTACCTAAAAGATACTAAAATAAAAATTGTGGTGGATGAAAGAGACATTTGTATGTCTACCTGTGGTAGCTATAAAGTGAAGTCAGAGAAAAGATGGAGTGTACTCTTCTTGGCCTCTACAACATGAGGAGAAAGCAAAATGAACTACAGATGGTTCCTGGATCATAGTTGCTGCCCGCCCATCATTCTAAATGGTGCCATTGAACAGAGAAGAGAGAGAAAGGGAGAAGAGAAGGAGGCTCATCTCCGCCATTAGCACTGGCCGTGCAGATATGGTACGTTGCTGTTTATGTCCATTGTGGTTCTCTCCAAACAAGCTTCCCAGGTATGTACTAAAATGTGTGAAGTTTAGACGAAGTCTTCAACGAGAAATATTTCCTTGTTTCTTAGTCCAGGATAAGCTGACAACCAATCTGTCTTCCTTGTTCACTTCTGGCTTTGATCTGTCCTTCCTTTCCATGGGACTCTCTCTTGCACAGCATCTGTACAGGCATAGATTTCCTGCCAGCCTTCTGCCCACTGACTTCCTGCCCATCCACCTCATCTGCTGCCAAAAGCCATCTGGGCAGAGCACTAAGGCCTTCACTACAGTCCTGGGAGGTGCGCCTGCCTCTCCTGACAAGTGATCCTGGTTCTGGTTGCTTTGGTCCAAAGATGAACTTAGACCTTTATCAAAGAAGACCACCTTTCATCTTTATAGAGTCTCCGAGTGGCTCACTGGTTTCGCACTTGGCTGCTAACTGAAGGGTTGGTGCATTTTAATCCATCCAGATGTGCCTTGAAAGAAAAGCCTAGAAATCTGGAAGGTTACAAATGTGGAGTTGCTGCAGGTCAGAATCGATCCAACAGCAGCTAGTCTGTTTTTGGCTTCATGGCAATGTTTAACACAAGCTCACAGTGGGGCTCCAGGCACTCCAGAGCCTCCTTTGCAATTATGCTCTAAAATGAGTATCAGTGTGATACACTAAACTAAATACATTTAATTGTGTTCATGCAAAACCTATACTGAAACCAGGAGGCTGTTGTGTGAACAGAGCTGCTGTGTGCAGGGTTATATTCTCTCTCCATACCTGTTCAACCAGTATACTAAGCAAATTATTTGAGAGCTGGACTTTAGGAAGAGGAATGTGGCATCTAGATCAGAGGAAGACTCATCAATAACCTGCATTATGCAGATGACACAATCTTGCTTGGTGAAAGTGAGGAAGCACTTGTTACAGAAGATCAAAGGAAACAGCCTTCAATACGGATTGCATCTCAAAGTAAAAAAAGACAAAGATCTTACCACCAGACCCATAGGTAACATTATGATAGATGGAGAAAAGATTGAACTGTCAACAACTTTATCTTACTTGGATCTACAATCAACACTCTTGGTACCAGCAGTCAGAAAATCAGGAGACATATTGTACGGGGAATGTCTGCAATCAGAGACTGCTCCAAATTATCGAGGAATAATGATGTCAGTGTCAGGACTATGGTGCATCTGATTCAGGACACGGTTGTTTGGTGGCTTGATATGCATCTGAGCACTGGGCAATGAATAAGAAGAAGAGTTGATATCTCTGAGATGTGGTTTTGGAGAAGAGCACTGAACATCCCATGGACTGCCAAAAGAACAAATAAGTATGTCTTGGAGAAAATGCAGCCAGAGTGCTCCTTGGAGGCAAAGATAATAAAAGTTTTGCCTTACGTACTTTGGGCATATTGCTAAGAGAGGCTATTCCTTGGAGAGGCAAATGATGCTTGGAAAAGTGGAGGGTCAGCAAAGGAGTGGAAGACCCTTAATCAGGTGGATTAACTGCTATAATGGGCTTTGGTGTGTTAGGAAGCGTGAAGATGGCACAGGATAGGATAAGGTTCAGATCTGTTGTTCATAAGGTCACTATGGGTCTTACTTGACAGCACCTAACAACAATACCAAACTTAGTTTCCCATATTGCCTCTCCCCTAAGGGGTAAAAATCATCTCTGATCTCCCATAATTCTCTTGAAATTCAGGGCTTAAGCGTGGATTCTTGAGCTTCCTGGCTCATGGCCCACCTCCCAATGGAAATCAACACAACTTCCTAACCTATTCTTGCTATGGCAGATATACAGGAAGTTCTGAGAAATCTCTTGATAGATCTCAGTCAAAAACCTATGTGGAAAAGAGCCATTTTAACCAGAGAACATATATGAAGGCCGAATAAGCACAGGAAGCTCTGGTGACTTACTGGGTAGGAGGTTGTGCTGCCAACTCAAAAGAAGGTGGTTCAAATCCACCAACTGCTCTTTGGGAAGAAGACAGGCAGTTTTCTCCCATACCATTTACATATTCTGAATCCCACTGGGGGGGGGTCGGCTAAAGGTCAGTTCTGACTCAATGGCAATGAGTTGTTTGTTTTGGTTTAATTTTTTTTTTAAGTAAAAACATAAGAAGAGATGCTCAGTATCATTACTCACGGAGTAAATACAAATTAAAACCCCAGTGTAACATTCATAAATATCCACCAAAATGGCTAATATTAAAAACAGAGTGAATTTGTTAGCAATTCGAACACTCGACAGTGCTGGTGGTGGGTGTGTGTGTCCAAAATGGTACAAATACTTGGGAAAAATCTTGGTAGTTTCTTATAAGGTTAAAAAATATACCAGTAGAACCAGCAACTCTCAGTGTTTTTTTCAAAAAATATGACCATATAGATAACTATATTTGAATGGTTTTAGAAAGTTTTATTCATAATACCCTCAAACTGGAAACAACACTAGCAACGACTGATGGATGTATAGACATGCTGTGATCTGGCTACACAATGGCTTCTACTGAGGATGAAAAACAAACTCCTGATGAACACAGAAGGAGGATGTCAATTATGCTGAATGAAAGACGTATGCCCAAAAGGGAAGAAAAACAGTATCATTTGTACATAAGATTGTAAAGTGAAATCCCATTTAAAGTGACAGATAACCAGATTAGAGGTTCAGGGGACAGGGAGGCACAGGAGGTTCTATTGTAATGGTTTCACAGATGTACGGGAAGCTCTGGTGGCCCAGTGGCAAGAAGCTGTATTGCAATCCAGATAGATACATATGATCAAAACAGCGACTATACACTTTACACACGAGACGTTTATTGCCCGTCACCTAAACCTCAATAAAGCTGTAAAGAAGGGTGGCTGAATAAACAGCGACCATAGCAAATGTATGCAGAATGAATGCATAGAAGGGTTCAGTGGTGGTTGAGGGAAGACAAAACTGGTGCTCCATAAATGTTTAGGTAATGCACATTAGAAATAATTACACAGTAGGTGTTCAGTAATTTTATATTAAAAGAATACCATGAGCCAGGTACTCTTCTAGGCTCTGGGAATAGGGAACAAAAGATCCCCATGATAACAGAGCGTTAGTTTTAGGGGGATGTTGTTAGCTGGCCACGGTGACTCATGCCATCTGGTCATAGGTCAGAGACACTGTAATCCGTAGGTTTTCCACTGGCTGGTTTTCAGAAGCACAGTGCCAGGTCTTTCCTCCTAGTCTTAGTCTGGAAGCTCCAGATGAAATCTGTTCAGCTTCACAGCAACACGCAAGCCTCCAGTAGCCAACAGGTGGTGGTTGTGCATGAAGTGCACTGGCCAGCAAGAATTCTACCGCTGAGCTCCCCATGCTCTAATAGGCTGAGAACAGATAATAAAAAGGTAAGCATATTGTTGTCGTCATGTGTCATTAAATAGAAATACGTATCTGAGGAGAGAATGCCAAGAAAGGAGGGCAGTCTTCTCGAAAAAAGATCTGAAAGAAATAAATTGGAGAAAATTATCTTCCCCAGACGCTAAAGAATAGAATGAGCAACAAACAAGTGGATGAAATGTCTGAACAGGTGGGTGGACAAAATAGCAGCAGAAGCTCATAGGCGCTTTGAGATACCCACGCTCCCCGAGGGTCCCAGGCCCTCCCCACCTGCCGGTACTCGCCTTGCCCACGAGGAGGCGCTGCGACCCCCGCCCCAGGGCCTCTTTCGACGTCCGACCGTGCGTGGGCACGCGCAGAAACCGCTAGGCGGCGTCGGTTTCCTTTCCCACGCGCGGACGCCGGCGTGGGCCGACGACGCCGGGGTGTCCGCGCGTGCGCAAAGCCGAGGCTGGGCAGCCCTTGGGGCGGGGCGGAGCGGGGCGGGGTGGAGCGGGGCGGGGCAGGGGTTTGCGGTGATTCCCCGGCCGCTGCAGCGGCGGCTGGAACCGTGCGGGGAAACCGAAAGTGGGCGGCGGCCGCGGCGGGGGCCCCGGCTGAGAGGGCGGCGGGAGCAGGGCCCAGAAGCGCGGAGACGGGCCGTCGGCCCCCGGAACTAGGTGAGCGCAGGTTCTGCGGGCTCCGGGCGCGACAGGTGCCAGACGACGTGGGACGGGGTTTGGGAGGGCGCGGCGCCGCCGGGTCACTGGCGGGGCATTGGTCCGAGCGGGACTCGAAGTAGCTCAGAGTCTCTTCCCTGCAGCCGCAAGGGATGGCCCGATCGCGGCCCCCGAAAACCGAACTGGGTGCCGGAGGAGTTGGAGTTCCAGAGCGCTGTGGTTTAAATCTCTTGCTGGCTCCCCTCCCCATGCCGCTCACAGCGATGCCGGCCATTCACCCGGGGCCATGCGACCACCTCGCAAACCCAATGGCGGGGGTGAATGCAGCAGTGGGGGTGTGGACAAGGGAGGGAGATGCTGACCAGGAAATAGTTCCCAGCTCAACAGGCCACTGTCTACTGGAGCAAGGGATATGAGTCTGACTTGAAATGCTTGTCTTTTACACCATAAGCTTTAATTTAAAAAAGGGGAAAAAAAAAAGGCCTCGAATTTTTCTTTACAGAACCTCCCAGCCCACGCAGGCCACTAAAGTAATGTGGGACAAAAGTACACTACTTTCAAACCGTAAGCACCTGGTGGGTATAAAGCACTAAATTAAATGAGAAACAGGAATCCAGGAATCCCCAAATAAGCTGTCTCTTAACTTTCACCAGGATCCCCCAGCAAGCTCAAGTTCTTGGGCTCACCTGGCTGGAAAGGGGCTTGGTGCCAGCCAGCTTTTCTTGCTCAGATCCACTTGAAAGGAGTGCTTTTTCATTACAGCTAAAAGTCCCATTCTGAAATACTTTTCAAAAAGCCGGGAAGGAGATTATCAGTGGTAGGGAAAAAGTCCCTGCCCAAAAGGGTTCAGATAACTGACCTTTAAAGAGAACCAAAGAGGTGACAGTTTCATTGCAGAAGTGAGATTTAGACCCTAGTCCCCAGCTTCTGCCCAATCTACCTTGATGTGTTAATTGTTCCAAACTCCAGGAGCCTGGGCTTGCAGACCTGGGCTGGAGTCTGGCCTCCTCCACTTGGTAATTCTGCAGTCTTGACCAAACTACATGAGCCAAGTGTTGTTATGTTGTCTGGTACCATCAAGACGACCCTGACTCTGACCAGCAGATCTGAACCTCACCCTATCCTGCACCGTCCTCCCGGATTCTGTGTCGGTCCATCTCATTAAGCAAATGCGACTTTCACTCACTTTGCAGAGCATATGTAAGATTACTGTCAACCCTTCGGCTCACAATAATAATCAAGAAATGTTAACTCTCTTCTTCCTGTCAGACTGTCTATATTTTCCCTACTTGGATTTCAGGTTCTTGAGGGCAGGGACACATTTTAAAATTCTCTGTATGAATCTCTGGTGGCCTAATGGATAAGGAATTGTGCTGCCAACCCAAAGGGAACCAAGGCTGTTCAAATTCAGCAGCTGCTGCTCTGCAGGTCAATGGCAGTCTCTTGCTGTGCAATTTATAGCCTCTTGGAAACCTAGGGAGTCAGTTATGAGTTGGTTCTGACATGACAGCAATGAGTGGTGGGGGTTTTCTCTGTATGATATGAATTGACATATATTGGAGATGTTTGCAGTTCCCTCAGCTGCCAACCATTGACGATCAGCTGACTACTCAGTTGCATGCAGTTTTCTGCTAGGTGCAGAGAATTGGTCTTGAAGCCTCTGGATTACGGTGCATATCTCCAAAACCTCAGTCCGGGGCCCTTTTGGCTCCCTCCACTACCTAAGCTTGGCTCACTAAACATAGTGAGGTTGTGATACAGAGATTGGCATTGCCTACTGACTTTAGTCCCTGTAGATTGGAAAGGAAATATGATGCCTTTTTAAGTGTACCAGTTGAATTTGGCCGAATAAACTATTGTATTCTACATCAGGAAATTTAAACTCCTTGAGGGGGTCTCTCATTTGGTTCTCTTGTATAATCAAGTTGGGTACTTAATAAAATATATAGGGGGAAAATATAATCCAATTCTGAGCAATTGATTCTTCAAGAACTAAGAGATTTGACTGAGTGCCTTGTAACTGAGCACGTTTAGGTTCAGCACATAAAGATAAGGAGACATCTTTTGTCCTTGGAGTAAAATTTCATTTTCTTTTTATGTGATTTTTTTTTCTTCTTTAAGCCAGATCATTGTCCTCCTTTCTATGAACCTTTTCTAAAAATTTTGTCTTTCGAACAGACTATTTTAAAGTAATTATTTTGCCATTTTGCCATTTTTCAATTGAAGATGTGTTTATCTGTCAGTCAGAGCATCTGATAAGCACAAAACACCCCGTGCAAGACACCCAGAGCCGACTTGGTATTTCAGCTTAGAGCACTGTCATGAATAACCATGGTTCCCATAGGCCTTCGGAACTCCTTTTTTACCTCTGAAGGACTCCAAGGGCAGTTGAAGATCGTGGATCCTGCCTACCTGCTTTATCTTCCATGTGAAAGAAGAGACCTGAAGGGACTTGCTCAAAGAGTGACAGCTAACTGTGGCAGAGCTAGGATTAAAAGTGACATTCTTGGCTAAGCCACTTTACAATCCTAAAGTTCTCTCCTCTATAGATTTATGGGAAACCTTTACTTAATGCTTTCATACTATGTGGTATAAAAATCACGTACATGTTTTGGAGCTTGATAAGAATGCTCCTTAGGCAAGCCTGCCACCCCTTAATTATGTTACTTTTTCTGATGATCTTTTAAATGTTCAATGAAGGAGTAATTCGGATGATAACAAGGAGTCTGTAACTAGAAAGAGTGGATGACATGCTGTTGCGAGAGACGTCATCTTGAAAGAGTCTTGAAGCGTGCCCCCTTTGAGGTTCAGTTTGTTCGTAAGATGAAGGGCTTGGGTGAGACTCAATGATGTCTAAGATCTTTCTGGGAAAGTAGGGGTCTGACTTGTTGCAAAGCAGTATCTTCAAGGAGGAGGGAGTTTTTACCAGAAGAATAGGTCCTAAGGAGATAACTAAAATATTCTGCACAGAGAAGGTAAGAAATTACTTGGCGATTTCCATTTCTCCTGATAATTCTTGGGATTATTTTGGAATTTGGTGTCACTCCACAAATTTAGGGAGCTCTGATGTGAAGAATACAATGAAGAAGATGAGTCAGAGAAAAGATCAGTTTGGGCAAGACAAAGTATAGGTGAGAGCCGGAATCCAGAATAGCTTGGCTAAAGGACATCTGGCCCTGGCAATGACTGACCGTAGTGACTAACCTGTAGCTGTTGGAAGCAGAGGTGCACTGGTAGCACAGGGGTTAAGCACTTGGCAGTTGTTTCAACTCACCATTCACATTGCAGGAAAAAGATGTAGAGTCTGTTTCTGTGGAAATGAACAGCCCTCAAAACCCTTTTGGGTGATTTAGGATTGTTAGGAGTTGGAATCAGTTCTATAGTGATGAGTTTGTCTAGGAATACAGTAATGGTAAATTATCAATAAATCATGCAGGTGAGCAGGTCAGGCTTTCTTGGGACCATTTTTTAGGTGTACTAAAGAGAAAAAACACCCTGATTTTAAAAATACAGTTTTTATTGAGAAGTCATTTTGCCCATTACAGTTGTGTAATAGAAAATGGGTAGAATAAAACAGTTAAATGTGCTATCAAGTGGCTAAATTAGTTTTCAACAATTCTTTTACCATCCTTTTTCATTTCGGTGCCAAACACTTAAGTCAGAAAGTGGAAGGTCCTGTTTCATGCTATTTTCAGAGATGGTGTCTAAGCACAGGGTGGGAATTTACTTTCCCAAGTCTTCCCTCTAGGAACAGTGGTCTCAGAGGAAATCTTAGGTTGGGGGCCTGAAGACCTTTGTTTGGGCTCTGAACATAGGTGAAATCTGGCCCAATTACACTTAGCGTCTGTTGCCTCACCGAAAGTTGAGAGAAGATGGGGTTAAGGCACTCGCTGACATTTCATGGGAGCTCTGGTAACCTGGTGGTAAAGAATTGTGTTGATAACCCAAAGTTAGGCAACTCGAATCCACCAGCTGCTCTGAGGGAGCAAGCGAGGCAGTCCTGTCCCCCCCACCCCCGTGTGATTTACAAGCTCTGAAAATCCCCTGGAGGATCAGCTAAGACAGCACCAGTATTCCAGGATCCTCCAGCTCTAGTCTGAAGATGAAACAGTACTGTGCTGTTCTCCTGAGCCAGGCAACGCCCGTGGGTATTTTGAAGTTACAGCTTTAGTAGGGCCTCTCTCCTTAGAGCCCTTTGACCAAAACAGTATGTGACTTTTTGCCCACTAGTTTGGTGAGAAATCATGAAGATTCAGCACCTTTCTTAGCAAGCTTGCTAGTTCATAAATAAGTTATTAAGCAAATGAATAAATCTAATATTTTATGCTTAATACGTACTAAATATTTCAGCAGTAGACCAGTGCCTTCTCTTCACAGTTACCCATTCACACCCTGCTTAGAGAAAATGTCTTCATTAACTACTCAAGATCAAGTGTTTTGCTGTGCTCTACTTTTAATGCTTGTCAATGAGAAAGGGACAAGGAAAGGAGGAAGAAAAAGGGAGGAGAAGTGAGACCACATGTCAAGTGTGATTTGTTGAGGCCAGTTTCTTCCCTCTAGATTAAGTAAGATTTCTGGTAGCTGACCTTGGTTAGATTTTGAATCAAGTGTTGTGATAAAAGAATTCCCCAGACCACCTTTACTTTACTCCATTGGTTAGCATTCTTGGGGAGCTCTGGTGGCCTGGTGGTAAGAAGCTGTGCTGCAGTCCCGAAGGCATGCAGTTCTAATCCACCAGCTGCTCTTTAGGAGAAAGATGGGCATTCTCCTCTAATGCAGTGAACTGCCTCTGAAAACATGCTGGAGGGGCCACTAGGATTCTTACTTAAGTCATATCATACTAGTTGACGCTAAAACAACTTTAATCCCATTGTGTTAGAGTAGAAATGTGACCCATAGGATTTTAAATGGCTGTGTTGTTTTTTGTTTGTTTGTTTCAGAAATAGATCCCCGGATCTTTCCCCTAAGGTGCCGCCTATAGGTGGACTCAGTCCTTCAAC